ATAGAAAGCTAACATATCCTTCTGAGATTTGTCATTGGTACTGCTATTTCCAACACCTCATGGGAAAAAAGTCACAAACCAAAACAGTCATTCCTGAGACTATTCTATAAACTCATCTTCCTCAAACAGACGTTAGCTGGTAAGGATTTCATAGTGAAAATTCCTGGGGCCCTGAAGGCCAATGTGCCAGCACACAAATACAGCAAGCTAGAGGTGCCAGGTCTCAGGGTGGGTGTGTGGGAACACTCATCACTTGTGGTGGGCAACAGCATGCCAGTCAGGAAAGTGTCCATGATGTCCATGCTGCATGGACTTGACATCTCTGAGAGATCCCTTTTTCTAGATGAGACCTGTCACCTCAGTGCTGATTCTCCCACAGAAGAGAACCTCCCAGTTCTTAACAATTCCTCAAGCAAAACAGTCTTTTAACTATTTTATTGTCTTCTGAATCATGTCCCAGCATTTCCTTATAACAAGGGAGGTAAAACAAGATAATACAGAGGATTCTGACTAGCATTTAGCCCAATGATGGGCTAAAGACCCTATAGCTTAAACTGATTTTTAAGGAAATCACATATGTCTAATGGCCAGAACTGGTGTCTGGTAAATATTAGGAACTCAAAAATATTGGTCAAAAAAATGAGCAAATGTCCCATAGATAGGTGGGGCAATGCCAAGGATATATGGAAAGTGATTTCCACCTAGAAGTTTGGGGAACCTGTTTTCATGGGGTACAGAGAGACTGTTGAATTTGGATGTGGAGCTATCCTATCCCTCCTTCCTTACATTTATTCATTCCTACACAAACTTCAGGAGCATGGAGTTCAAAATTTACTTGGAAATGTATTGGTAGATCACAGTTGATTGGTAGAGTGTATCTTTTCCATTATGGAAGCCTAAAATCTGGGGAGATGGCAAAATGGGATGAGGGAGCAACAGACTTATATCAGGCTAAAAAAATATTTAAAATATACAAAACATCACTATAGCAATATTCTTCTGTAGGCAACAAAAGCAACTTCCTAGGTTGGCAGCACTGCTCCAAATAAAAATGACTGAAATGTATTTTACAAGATAAGATATTTTCTGAAATACCATCCAAGTACTCTCCTAAATTTATATGCTGCTTTTTTGCTGTTGGATTCTGTATTGGTCCAAGTAATAAGGTCATTCAGTCATTCATTCATTCAATGAACATTTATAATCTAGAGCAGTGATTCTCAACCAGGGCTATTTTGACCCCCTGGGCAAATAATTATGTAATTTATTGGTAATATCTGAAAACATCTTTGATTGCCATGACTTGGGAAAAAGTGCTATTGAGGTGAGGCCAAAGATGCTGCTAAACATCTTACAATGCACAGAACAGGCCCCAAACTGTTGAAAAACCTATGGTAGCACATAGTGAGGTTTCTATCCAAGTCTTGGGGAGTCAGAGAAGGCTTATCAGATGAAGTGATAAATACACTGAGACATGAAAAAGAATTAGGAGTGAACTTAATTAGAAACAGGATCCCAAGTAGAAGAAACTACTTAGGCGAAAGCCAGGAGATGATCATTTAATGAACTGCAAAGAGACTAAACATTCTCTTAACCAACTTTTCTTTGTAAGAACTCGTTCGTAAAACAAACTGCTGCCCACAGCACAGCGAGCATGTGTGATTGGTGAGCCTGTGTACTTCTGCTCTACCAGACGAGTTATATGCTTATACGCTCAGTTGTATTTGTTCTCAAAGTTGTCAGTTATAATGTTATTTTAATTATGTAATTTAGATATTATGTAAAATCATGAAAGATAATTGAAAGAAGAAAGGTGCTCTTTTTATTCTAAGTAGAATGTTTTGAAAAAATTTCATGAAAATGAGCCTAAAAAGAAAATACTATCAAATTAAATATGGGTAAAAGAACTTTAATAAGAAAGTAAATCTTTAAAATATATAAGGATTATGCACTTACATTGCTTCACAAGTGTCAAGCTTACAACCCACTACTTAAAAGAAAAAAAAAAACCAGTAACTGGATGTCATAAATAATCAATAATTGGCATGGTTGATGGAAGAAATATAACTCTCAACACCAATCGGCTTACACTCCAAGAAAAGGTCTTGGCTTTATTTTAAAACATTGCTGAATAAATGTGCATTTATGTGTTTTGAGTTGAAATAAAATATACCTCACATGTATACATCATTTTTTTTATGATTCCATTTTACCCAACATTTTTTTTGTATTAATCTGATCAGATGAGACAGCTTCTACCATGTCTGGGTACAACTAGAGCACAGTGCAAGCAGAGGACTTGGCACAGGATGAGGAATGAGAGGTTAACTGAGGTCAGATGAAAAATCTTTTGAACCATGATGCATTTGGACCTTCACAAGAAATAGAAGCCATAAAAATTTTAACAAGGAAAAAAACATTTTAACAAAGGAGTAACCTGACTACATAACATGCTTTAGGAAGATATCACCCTGGCTCCAGCTTGAATAAGGATTGGAAAGAAGCAAGAATATAGGCCAAAAGTCCAGTTAGGAGGGCTTTGCAGTGATTAGGGCTCCCTATGGTTGCTGAATAAAGAATGCAGAGACAAGAATGGATTCATGGGATATTTAAGAATTTGTATCTTGACTGAGCGATTAAATATAGCATATAAGGGAGAGGCTAGAGTCAAACCACACTTAAGTTTGGGGCTTGTACAGCTGAGTCATTGGTAGTGATATCCCTGAGACAGGAAACAAAATAGAAGAATTCAGCCAGCATGGGAAGATGATGAGCTCAATTTTGGACATATTTAGCAACGTAATCTTATGAGACATCCAAGTAAAGATGTACAGTAGGCAGTTGAATTCATGGGTGTGATGCTCAAAAGAAAGTGTTGGGCTAAATACTTAAATTCGTGTGTAATCAGCATATAGAAAAAAATTGACATCATGAGACTAAATGAAATTGCCTGGTTAGGAAAAAAATTCTATTTTTGTATTTTTACTAATAATTAATGATTTTTATATTTTTATTAATCAATAAAAAAGACTAATAAAAGAATGTGCAAAATATCTAAGAAAAAAAATATTTCACAGAACAGAAAAAACATAAACAAATAAATAAATGAATTTCAACCACTTTATTAATCAAGGAAATGCAGTTAATGCCACATGAGATGATTTTTATGCCACTAGCTTGGCAAAAATTAATAATTCTGGTAATGTTGAAAAGGATAATGATTTGGGGAAGGTCATACTCTACTGGAAGGATTGTATATTGGTACAACTGCTTTGGAAAACACCTTGCCATTATTTTTTAAAGTATACCTGATAATTATACTCCTACATAAGTATCTTAGAGAAACTCTTGAATATGTGAATCAGGAGACATGTTCAAAAATAATTTCAGCACCATTAAACAATACTGGAAGCAACCAAAAGGTTCAATAACAAAGAATGGATAAAGGATGGTATAGTCACAAAAAGTGGTAAAAAATTTACTTCCAAGATTTCAAAGCAGTAAAAAAGAAGCTGCATATATATGCAACAGCATAAAGAAATCTTGGAATCAATGTTGAATGGAAAAGAAAGAATCTCAGACTTCAATCTGTATAGTATTTTAATAAAACTTTCAAAAAATCAAAACTGAACAAAATATCATTTATGTATTTATGCATTTGGGATAAACCAAAACAAAAAAATCTAAAGAATGGTAAAGAAAACTTAGGATAGTGATTCTCTCTGGTGGAAGAGAAGACAAAGGCACAAGGAGAGAGCACGTAGATAGTGACAAGTTATAGAATGTATCGTCCTCTGATTGCATGTTCATGGGTATTTATTATACTACTGTAACTTATAACTTACATATAGGTTATGAATGTTCTTTTGTATGTACCAAATAGCATATTAAAACCAATAAATAAAACTTAAAAAGTTGCTCTTAGATATATCCTCATTGAGGCAGAGTTCTAGATTCAAACTGCATTGGTTAGAATTGTTTTCAGTAAATTGTGTTTTAGGACTTTTCCTTCACCATAAGTACAAATGTGTGACCCGACCCTGGGACATGTACAGAACCATGAGGAATGCGTTTTGGGTTGATAAAATTTCTAATGGCTTCATTTTACTAGTATTTTTTCATCACCCTGACTCAATCAGTTACTTACTTTTTTTCTTTATGGTACATGCATTTATGGAAGCCTCATATTTTTGGTGGAATGAGGCAGAGTGTAAATAATCAAAACCAAAATACTGTATCCCACAGAGGAGAGAAATAATTCAAATTCTGTCATGTTTTCTCCTATTTGTGGCACAGAATGCAGAAAAGTGGGCAATTCCTTTCCTCTGGTTGGCACACTGCTGCAAGAGGTCTACCAAGTCTTCTGACAGCCAGAAGGTAGCTAGAAAAACTATTTGCAGACTTTGTCAGAGAAAGGATTGGTGGCCCTCTGTGCCCTAGAGCTTCTCAGATACAGTTCTGAGAAGGTGTCCACAACCCTGGACAATGAGCTGGCCTGAGCCCCTGAATCAAACTGCTTCATCAACCTTCTGCTCACTGTTTGTATGGTTTCCCAGGCCTCCAGACCAGGGACAAAAGGAACCCCATATGGTTACACCCTTGCCCATTACCTACTGATGCCCAGAGAAGTAAAGTGTTTCTCGGCTAGGTATCTGGGCCTGTTCCACATCATGGTAGCTCACTGATTCAAAGATGCCATAACCATAAGATACCACTTAAACTGCCAGGAAACTATTGGGTCCTGCCTTCATTGTGATTCAAAGATGCCATAACCATAAGATACCACTTAACTGCCAGGAAACTATTGGGTCCTGCCTTCATTGCACCTCATTTGTTGACCATAGGAAGAATTTTCTGCATCCCCAAAATGGTCAGGATCATTGGTTCCTGACTCTACACTGAGGTAAGAAAACTTACAGAAATCACAGACCAACCCCTGATCCAGCAGTCTCCAGTCCAAGGGGGCTCCAGAAAATAAACTAGACATTGAAAACACAAACCTGGGGTAACAGAATCTGCTTCAAGCATCAAGAGGAGATCTGAGAGAAGCCTTTACCAGCGATCCTTCCCCTTGGTCCATAGATGGCTATGACCTGTACATCTCCTTAATAACCCAAATCCACTGTTTCCCATAAGATGTCTGCTACCATGTTGCCTATAAAAATGTTTTTATATGAAGAAGAAGGATTGGAGAGGAGGAAGAAGGATTGTACATCTCCACATGAGGAGTGTGACTGTGAAATCAATCAGTACTGCAGGACCTGTGCTTTGCTAGTATAAAAATATCACATTGGAGTGATGACCTCCTCCTCCCTGTATAAGCCTCAGTGCTCTTTGTGATGAAGAAAGAGGAGAGAAGTTTGCCTCTTCCAAACTTATTCAGTCATCAGTATAGTCATTATCCATTATCCTTAGCTCTTGAACTAGTTCTGTGTAGGATGAATCTTTATAAAAATTATGCTTGGAGGCACCTGCAATTTTATCTGTAAAAGATGACAAGTGGAGAATGGCTTTCTAAAAGTGCCCAACTAATGTGAACACGCAAGAAAGCCATTTGGTCTATGTAATACCGTAACTATCTTCCAGGACTTACTGACTGGCAGCTTGAAGAGGCTCTGTTCTAAAATCTTGTGGATAATATCTCCACCTGATATCATAGAAACATTTTGTTTTGAGAAGAACTCAACCATCAACCACAGTATAACCCCTGGACAAAATTCAAAACCTGTCTACTAAGAAGCCATAAGATAGAGTTCTTAGGCCTTGGCATGTCTATCTGGTAGCCTAGACATAGTAAGATGGAGTATTAGAGTCTATAGAGAAGAAATATTGGACTGTGCAGAATCCAGTTAAAGCATAGCATCTGGTCTACCAAGCAAGTAGAAGCCAAAGAAATGGTCATGAGACTGCTTTCCACTTGAGAAATGTCTCAGAGCCAATTAGAGCCTTATGTTTGGGTAAACCCAGAAATGCACATAGTCTCTTCCTCCCTGAAAAGGAGGGCAAGGTGAAGGGGAAAACGTGTTCATGCAGGGTCGCCTTTAATGACTCCCTCCCTGGCTTTCAGCTCCATGAAGAGATGTGACCCCTGCATTCCTTGGCCAAGAAATTTCCTCCAGGCTCTTCTTCCCACCTTTGTTCATGCTGATGTAAAACAATTGCAATTTCTAAGTTGAATAGTAGAAAGGTAATAGCATCTGTGAAAAATTTTATTGAACAATGCAGTTTTTTCCAACTGGCACACACCCAGTTTCTTCCTCTCTACCTGGGGCCTTCTCATAGGCAGCCTGCTCGGCTTTCTCATTTGGCTTTTTCCCAAGACACTCCCTCTCAGATCATATGGAGGGTTCCATGTCTGATTCTGGTTGCTGGCACACCACAGCCCAGACCCCTGCTCTTGAAGCTGTTTAATAAAGTTAAGAAATAACATGTAAAGGTAAGCATTTTTATCATTATTATCCTGAGTAGAGAACCCTGCTTAACTGCTCCCTGACAGCTGATTGAGTTCTGGTTTCAGTTTTTTATTACATTTGCAGAACATAAGTTTTTCTCTAGTTCAACATCACCAAAGTGTATTCCCTTCAACAGGAAGTATTCTGTGGTTTGAATATACGTATTTTTTTGCATAGTATATATTTCTCCCAGAGTTTCACATGATTATTCACATTCTAACTTTTCATAAAGCCAGTTTTACTGGGTTTCACCTTTTCCCCATAACATCTATAAACATCTCTGAGAACAAGAGTTCTGGAGAACACATTTGGAAAATGTTGTTGTAAGCTTATCTTTGAACTGTGATCGCAAAATAGGAAAATTCAAGTTCTTTTCATTTTATAATTACAATTCATAAATATGCTAATTTGCATATATTTTCAAGATCTGTAAAAGTAGGTCTTACTCTTTAAACTCTCTGTATACATTTCAAGTGTATTGTTAATACTCTGCCTGGCAGACAAACATTCTTTATGTTGTGTTCTTTATGCTGTATATAGAGCATTCTCTCTGTCTATTCTTGGAAGATGTTATGAGGTCCTTGCTCAACTTGGGTGAACAGAGTAGTCAAAAGATTTCTTATTGAATATCAGTTACTCCTCTCTTTTTTCCATTCAGAAGCTGAATTTGCTTCACAATCACACACTCATATGAATTAAAGCCACAATGAGATATCACTAAATACCTATAGGAATTCCCAAAATAAAAATAGTGACAATATTAAATACTTGTGAGGAGGAAGCAAAGCAAAATTACTTAAATATTGCTAGTGAATATGTAAAATGGTGCACCCACTTGGGGAAACAGTCGAGCAGTTTCTTGTAAAACTAAGCATGCAGTACCATACAACCCAGCAATTGTACCCTTGGGCTTTTATTCCAAATAAACGTATATTCACACAAAAACTTGTACATACATGAATGTTCAGAGCTCCTTTATCTGTAATAGCCCATAATTGGAAAGAGCCAGATATCTTTCAATGGGTGAAATGTTAAATAAACTATGGCATACTCACACCAAGGCAATAAAAAGGAATGGGCTATTTTTATATGCAACAACCTGGATGAATCTCAAGAGAATTATGATGAGTGAAAAAAAGCCAAACACCCAAAATTACATTATATTATTTCACTTATATAACATTCTTGAAGTGACAAAATTATAGAGATAAAGAAGAGATTCTTAATTACCAGTGGTGTGAATATAAAAGAGGAAAACCAGGAATCCTTGTGGTGATGGAACTGTTATCTGATAGTGAACACAAGAACCTATATGTGTAGTAAAATTAAATAGAACCAAATATACACACACACATACACACACACATACACATACACACACACACACACACACACGAGTGCATGTAAAACTGGGAAATTCTGAATTAGATCAGTAGTTTTATTAATGTCTATTTCCTCATCATGATATTGTACTATAGCTTTGCAAATGACACCTTTGGGAAAATTGGGTAAAGAGGACGTCATAAGATCATTGTATTGTTTCTTACAACTAACTGCATGTTAACTTGAGGGCAGAGACTATGTAGAAGTTTAAATGTACAAACAAACATTTCATACCTTCAATGTAGGAAAGGTGATATTTCATAACAGATTGATAAGTTATTCTGTCTCTTCTGGGGAAAAAAAAAAAGAAATAAGATTAATTATAAGAAGGGATTCACATTAGACAGGGAAATTTCTCCCAACCAGAAAGAGGTTTTAGTTAGCAATGTTAATGATTAGAGGCTCTGCATTCTTCCTCTGGATATGAGACACAAATTTACAGTATCTACTATGTTTCTGTGAGGCCCACCCTCCTCTCTGCCTCATAGCACCTGTCAGTTTCATTCTTTATCACATATTGTTTATTATTCCACTATCTGGTCTGTCCTCCATGCAAAATGAGAGAAAGATTGAACTATATTGTTGGATACCAAGTGACAGGACACAAACATGATCAAATCTCAATAATTTTTAAGTAAACTATCTTAAAACTGATACAGAGCATTTCTTGAAAAGTTTTCACTTACAACTTCATGGAGACAGGGGTACGAATAAGATGACCTCACCAGATTCCTTTCACTAGAGGGGTCAGTGATCTTTGGTTCCCAACTGTTTCTGGTATTACAATACTGTTCCCTAATCTTGGAATAGATTCTCACTAATATTTACTTTTTAAAAAAAGTTTTATCTGGGTCTAACTGGCACATAGTAAACTGCACTGGATTGAAATGTAAAAATTTGGTAATTTCTACATATTTAAACACCCATGAAACCAATACCAAAATCAAATAATGAGATGTGTGTGTATAATGTATATTTTGCCAAGTATATGGAGTAATTTTATATATATAAAAATTACTCCAAAAGTTTTTCAGTTCTGACCCTGGCATTCCTTCCTCAGACAACCACTGATCTGCCTTCTGTCACTACAAAATAGTTTTCTAGATTTTTATAAAAGTCTGGCTTCTCTCATTCAGCATTACTATTTTGAGATTCATCTATCTTATTATGTGTGCATCAATAGTTCATTACTTCCTTATTGATGGTTATTCTATTATATAAATATACCATAACTTATCCATTGACCTATCAATGCACAATGGAGTTGTTTCTAGTTTTAGGTGATTACAAACAAAGTTGCTGTGAATATTCAAGAAAATGCCTTTTTGTATGGACATATGCTTTCATTTCTCTTAAATGAATATTAAGATTAAAGGCTGGGTCACATGGTACTTTTATGTTTCACTTTTTAATAAACTGCAAAACTTTCCAAAGGAGATGCATGTTTTATATTCCCACTAACAGTGTATAAGAGATAAAGGTCCTCCATATCCTTGCCTGCACTTGATACAGTCAAGTGTTTTAATTTTTTATTCTAATACGGCTGTAATTTTATCCTGTGGATTTAATTTATATTTTCATTTCCATAATAATAAATAATGTTGAACATCTTTTCATATGCATTTTTTCCATCTGTATATCTTCTTTGGTGAAGCATCTGTTCAAACCTTTTGCCCATTTTTTAATTAGGTTGTTTGTTTTTTAATATAGAGATTTTATATATTTGGAGTACAAGTCCTTTGTCAGATATGTGATTTGCAAATATTTTTTTCCTTGTGGATGACTTGTCTTTTCATTATCTAAGCAGTATATTTAGAAGATCAGAAACTCTTAATTTGGCAGTCTAATTTAAAAATTTTTTCTTTCATGAATCCTGCTTTCAGTGTTGTATCTGAGAAATCTTTGCCTAACCCGTTTATGAAGTTTTTCTCCTAAGAATTTTTTCTAGATGTTTCATAGTTTTAAGTTTTACAATCAGTTCTGTAATCCATGTTGAGTTAATCTTTTCATGTAATGCAAAGTATAGATCAAAGTTCTTTTTTTTTTAATACAGACTTCCTATCGTTCCATTGTCATTTGATAAAAGACAATATTTTTCTTTATTGTATTGCCTAAGATCTTTGTCAAAAATCAGTAGACTACTTCCAGTTTCCAGTCTCACATGTAAAGGGGCTTGAAAGTCATCACACCTATGCTCATAACAAGATAAACCTGAACAAATTGAAAATCAACAACTTTTCTTAGATCAATCAGACAGTTCAGGACAAATGGCAAACTACTGTTCTAAAAACTAAAGTGACATGTGGAAACAGAGAAGTAGAGCTCACAGGAGCAAAACTGAAGCCTAGTAAGAACACTTAAAGTATAATTAACAAACTGCTGGAGACTGAGCAACCCAGTCTTAGGGGAGTCCCCACACTTTCATGAGTTTTACCACAGAGAGCTCACCAGGGCTCTTTCTTAGGAAAAAAATCAGGGGAAAAAAATCTCCAATAGGGGGAGAGGAGTAATCATTTTGAAATATGCCCAGGGTTATCATTCTCCTTTACAAAGGCCTGCCCTCAAGGGAAACTATCCTTCCAGAGCCTGACTGGCCTGGGTGAAGGAAACTACTCAACTCCAGCCTCCTCTAGCCTTCCTCTCCCACCCAAGGGGGAAAGGGAAAGTTTAAAAGCAGTTATGAAGGCCACAGCCCGGAGACCTAGGCTCACTAAAAGTCTAAGACAAAATTATGGGATTATAAAATGCTTCCACTCTCTCCTCCCTCATACCTCACCACCATATCAATAGAGTTCCTATATAATAACAGAGAATTACAGCTAAAAGAACTGAGGCTTTATTAAATTTTAAAACATCAACTATGCAAAGGACTCTGTTAGGAAAATGAAAAGATAAAACAGACTGGGAGAAAAAGTTTGCAAAACACATCTCTGATAAATGACTTGCATTCGAAATTATGAGGAACTCTTAAAATTCAACTCTCAAAAGTCAACAGTAGGAAAACAAACTAAATTAAAAATGGGCAAAACATGGGAACAAACACCTCACCAAAAAAGATATACGGATGGCAAATAAGCATACAAAAAGATGCTCAACATCATATGTCATTAGAGAATTATAAATTAAAACAACAGTGAAATACCATCAAGACCTATTAGAATGACAAAAATCCAAAACACTGACAAACACCAAATTTTGGCAAGGAATTTGGAACAACAGAAACTCTCATTTATTCCTGGCAGTAATGCAAAATGGGGAGTCACTTTGGAGGATAGTTTGACAATTTCTTACAAAGCTAAACATACTCTTACCATCCAATCTAGCAGCCACACTCCTTGGTATTTACCCAAAGGAGTTGAAAACAGGTCCACACAAAAATCTGCACACAAATGTTTATGTCAGCTCTATTTATAAATTCCAAAAACTGGAAGTAACGTGGATTCTTTAGTAGGTCAATAAATAAACTGTGGCACACTCACACAACGCATTATTATGGACATTAAAAAGAAATGAGTTATCAAGCCATGAAAATACATGGAAAAATCTTAAATGCAAATTTATAAGTGAAAGAAGCGAATTTGAAAAGACTATACTCTGTATGAATCAAATTATGTGACATTCTGGAAAAGACAAAACTATTGTGACAGTAAAAAAAAATAAAAATCAGTGATATGTATAGAGAATTCTAAAAATTCCATCAAAAAAACTATTAGAACTGGTAAATGAATTCAGTAAATTAGCAGGATATCCAGAAATCAGTTACATTTTTATACACCAATAATGAACTGTCAGAAAGAAATTAAGAAAACAATACTATTTACGATTGCATCAAAAAATACCTAGGAATAAATTTAACCAAGGAGGTAAAAGACCTGTACTCAGAAAATTATCAGACATTGAAGAAAGTAATTGAAGAAGATACAAATAAATGAAAGTATACACCATGCTCATTGATAGGAATAATTAACATCATTAAAATGTCCATACTACCCAAGGAAACCTATAAAAGCAATGAAATCTCTATCAAAATACCAATGGCATTTTTCACAGAACTAGAACAAATAATCCTAAAATTTCTATGGAATCATGTAATACTTCAAATAGCCACAGCAATCTTGAGAAAGAAGAACAAAGTTGGAGGTATCACTCTGCCTGATATCAAACTATACTACAAGGCTATAATCATTAAAACAACATGATACTTGCATAAAAACACATATCAATCAATGGAACAGAATGGAGAGCCCAGAAATAAACTATATGATCAACTAATCGATGACGAAGGAGGTAAGATTATACACTGAAGTAAAGACAGTCTTTTCAATAAATGGTGTTGGGAAAACTGGACAAATACATGCAAAAAAAGTGAAACTAGACCACTTTCTTACCATATACAAGAATAAACTCAAAATAGATTAAACCCAAAACTATAAAACTTCTAGAAGAAAACATAGGCAAAAAACTCTTTGACATTGCTCTTAGATACATATATATAATGTACAGGCTGTATCTCTTCAGGCAAAGGAAACAAAAGAAAAAAATTAAAGTATGGGACTACATCAAACTAAAAAGTTTTTGCATAGCAAAGGAAACCATAAACAAAACAAAAAGCCTACCAAATGGGAGAAGATATTCGCCAATGATTCATCCGATAAGAAGTTAATATCCAAAATTTTCAACTTAACGCCAAAAAAACCCCAAACAATCCAATTAAAAAATGGGCAGAGGGGAGAGGAGAGAGGTAGACGAGGGAAAAAATTAAATCGTTTCTTCAATTATAAATTAATTTAATTAATTAATTAATTAAAATATCTGACCAGAAAAAAAATGGTCAGAGAACCTAAATAGACATTTCTCCAAAGAAGACATATAGATGTCCAATAGACAAATGAAAAGATGCTTAATTTGTTACAATTGATTAACCAATTATCATTAACTGAAGTTCATAGTTTACATAGTAGGAAATGATACAAGCCAAGTCCGTTGGCCAAAGACGTAGAGCTTACATCTTAGAGTTTGTGAAGAGTAATATAAGTGCCTCTCTGAGGAAGCATTAAGTACGGTGACGAATATGAATCTCTTAGCACAGTTCTTGGAAGAGTAGACATTTAATAAATGTAATAGCAATTATAATTATTACTATATAATCCAAATATATATTCACAATGTAAACTATGGACTTCAGTTAGTGATAATTGGTTAATCGATTGTAACAAATTAAGCACGCTCATGCGAGATGTTAATAATGGGGGAAGCAGGGCCAGGGAGGTAGTGTGGTGATACATGGAAA